ATTTATATTAATAAATATATTTAAATGCTTAATTCGAAGGAATAAATAGAAAATTTAAAACAATTATCTGAAGAAATACAACAATAATTTAAAATGCAAATTTTAAAACAATAATCTGAAATACATACAAACAATTAAAATAAAAGTTAAAAATTTAAAATTACCTAAAATAATAACTATAATAAAAAATATATATAATATATTTATAATAGAAATAATAAATAATAATAAATAGAAAATTTTAAAACATTATCTGAAGAAATACACAATAATTTAAAATGCAAATTTTAAAACATAATCTGAAATACAATACAAACAATTAAAATAAAAGTTAAAATTTAAAAATTACCTAAAATAATAACTATAATAAAATATATATATAAAGAAAACTATTTGAAAAAAAATAAATAAAATAAATGCTGCACCTTTATTTACGCAGTTCAAATAGGTAAGTAGAAATTTTGAAAACAGTTATTCGAAAAAAACCATGCAACTTAAAACAATTAATGTGAAATTCGAAAAAGAAAACAATACTTAAAATAATAAGTTATGATTAAAAATATAATATAAAGAATATTATTTGGAAAAAAGGAACGATGGTGACTTTTTTTCCTCTCACGGGAAAGGAAACTAGGTTGCCATATATTAAGAAGTTCGCCAAGTAAACTATTCTTGGCGCAAACTGACAAAAAAGTGCCAACATAAATTTGTGAATTTCTCCGTAAATTTCGCTCCAAATTTTACAAAATTTCATATTTAGGCGTAATTTGAGTCGTAGAATCGAAATATGTAAAAAAATTGGTATGTTATTTCAGAAAAAGTCCGATTTTTTGTCAAAATACCTATGTTAGAATAGTGCTGTATATAAATCTAATATATATCCTAAGTCGCGCTTTCGAGACATGAAGAACGCAATTTGAATTTTGTCAATCGGCCCAGTAGATCGGGAGATATAGGACTGTCCCTTTTTTTTTTTTTTTTTTTTTTGAGCAGTGTACATATAATGTACGACATATGTAATAATAAAATTATAAGTGTGTAATAATTCTCTTGCATCAAACTTATTTCTTTTGCAGATCATCAGAAATTTTAAAGTGGGGTATCATCATGAAGATATTGATATGTACAAAAGATTAATTAACATTCCAGACAGGCCTTTGAAATTCAGGTTCATAGAAAGATAGAAGAGAAAGTTCCTTTACACAAGAAATCATTACTTAAACTTCTTAAATTCATTTAATAAACATCATACCCTCGTTGTTAATTGAATCCAAAATGTTGTGTATCGTTCATATAATTATTCTTACTTGTCCACAGAAGCTGCTGACTTATCCAGCCATTAAGTAGCTGCAGATCATTTCTACATAACCATTGAACTTCCATTAATTCAGTCTCTAGAGGGTTGTATGTTTATATCATAATTTGACTTTTATAAAAAATGATTATTCTAAATATTATGTTTCTATAAAAATATATTGTGCTTTAAAAATATGGATGATAGTATCACTTTAAAAGCAACAGTTTGTTTAGAAATAAATTGTGCAGTTAATGTCATAAAATTCAAATAAATATCAAACGAAAATTCTCAGTTTTAGACAATTCGATTTAAACGAAGTAAAGTAGCAGACGATAAAACGCCGAAGGTAAAAATTTACTCTTACAAAAACTTACTCTTAAAAAAAAAAAAAAAAAAAAAAAAAAAAAAAAAAAGAAAGAAAAAAAAAAAAAAAAAAGATACGAGAGAAATTAAAAAAAAAATAGTTAAAAATTTGAATAATATCATCTATAATTTAAAAAGTAGCCTTTCATATAGTATTAATAAATATTTATTACGCATCATTGAGGGTAAAAATGTCATATAATTAATTCTCCGTAAAATTTTACTTGAAGTTTGAGGTTAAAAATAGCTGTGGCAATTCAGTGTAACAAAAATCCATAGACCACATTTGGCGTTATTATCGCTCAAAAAAAAGGTGCCAAATTTCAAAACGCGAAATTATGTAAATTCGTGTGTATCTTAGAAAATTTTGAATAAAAAAGTAATTTTTTGCAGATATGCTTAAAAATACACCTACTTTAAGATGATGGTAAAAATTTTATAGGTTATAATTCAAAATTTTTTTCGAAAAATCTATAGAAATTATTTAAAATAGAAATTTAAAAATAAAACGCAAAAAATGAGTAAATTTTATTTGGAATGAACCAAAATTTCGAAATGTGAGAGAAAAAATAAAAAAAGTTTAATAAAAAACGAGATATTAATAAATATTTGCCAAATTCAATTAACATTGAGAAGCTAAAATTTTGAGAGCTAATATTTTAAAAACTATTCGTACGATTTTTAGAAAACTTGGTATTCTGGCATAATTTGAGTCGTAGAATCGAAATATGTAAAAAAATTGGTATGTTATTTCAGAAAAAGTCCGATTTTGTGTCAAAATACCTATGTTAGAATAGTGCTATATATAAATCTAATATATATCTTAAGTTGCGCTTTCGAGACATGAAGAACGCAATTTGAATTTTGTCAATCGGCCCAGTAGATCGGGAGATATAGGACTGTCCCATTTTTTTTTTTTTTTTTTTTTTTTTTTTTTTTTTTTTTTTGAGCAGTGTACATAAAAAATGTTGACACGACAACACACATTATGCACATAAAAAGAGTTGACAAATGTTAGTTCTAAAAATTTTTTGTTCTGAAGGTATACGCATTTTAATGCCATTTAAAATTTTGTAAAAAAGCCAATAAATTTGTAAAAAGACATTAATTTAAGAATTTACTATGTTTTCATGGTACAACATCCTGATTCGCCAGTTCATATCACGTGACCACAAGAGATCTAAACTACGCTACAAAAATCTAATTCTCTCAGTAATTATCTACATTAATTTCAAGTTAAATCTTAATTTGGAATATAGGTTTAAATGCAAGAATTATTTCAATTCGTACGAATAGCTTACTCAGAAATTATGTAAAACCGCTGTGCTTTACTTCGCTAGTGCATTCTCATTAGAATTGATTAATTTATTCCTTAGTTTTGCCTTTTCCATATTTTCGCCACCAGGTGAGCGGTGTCATGGCATCCTAATTGACTTAATTAAAGCCCGCGAATGGCTTTAGAGCATAAAACTGAAATATCTGCTAAAAATTCTATGTTATTGTATGCCAGTATTGAAAGAAGTAATCAATCTGAAAAGAAATGTCTGCGACTTGTTTTGAAAATAAAGGTTACCAGCGAGGATATTCCGTTTGGCATTGGTTGTACCATTATTGGCGACTTTATCGCCTGCGCCGGCAAAACGGAAAAGTACCAAAAATTCTTTGCATACAAAATTTTGATATAGTTGTGATACAAATGTTATAGAGAATTTTTTACACCTTTACAAGAGTCCCACTAGTCTCTAGATAAGGGTGGACGTGGTGCTATTACCAATTAACCATAACGGTAAAGGGATGTTGCGCACGTCCTCCGTCACTAAACTAAACTAAAACCTTTACAAAGAATGTTAGATTATTACAAAGAATGTTATATTTTACAGAGATATCTCTGTGAAGTATAATATTTTGTTACAGGTATAGCACAGATGTTATAAAGGAGTTATAACTCTCACTAACCAGAATCTTCATTATTGAATTAGGTATTTGTATCGTTATTTTACCGAACTCAACTCTTAAACATTTTTAATATATGAACGCGTCATCAATTAGAGAAAGAATTTCATAAAATATCAAATAAAAGTATTTGATTTAAAAGTTCGTTCGTTACGAATTATTTATCACTATATTTTTAGAATTACTCCACAGTATTTATTACATGACGATAAATTTACAATACATATTTTAGCAAATTTATCACATGTAGATACTAGACATATAATTAATTCGAGCAATACTTTCATGAGGATTTAATTTTAAGTTTAATAAATGAAAGGTAGATCAAGAATTTCATTAGTAAACAAACTGATATTTAATTCAGATATTCTCTGATAGTCTTATAAAGGCAAGCAGCTAAAAGAGTGCATTTCTTACCAATTAAATTTTTCGCGTTGTCTGTACTAAGAGAAGTTTATTCCAGAAGAGAACTGTTTGCTTTTTGTTCGCAAATAAAAAATAAAAAAAATTCAGTACTTTCATTTTAGTTCCTACTGCTTCAAAGGTGCATGTGTAATATGAATTACTTCAAATATATAGACATATAATTCTTTACCGACTGCTCCTGATTTTGAAACTCTTTCGAAGTCATTTATTATTTTCTATAGCAAATAAAGTGGTTGATGAGAGGATAATTTCCGCTGGTGAGCTCCAAATCTTAATGCGGATATAAAGATTCGAAAGAATAAGTTTTATACTTTTTCTTAGTAAATATTTAATTTGTTAGGCAAAACTACAGTTATCATAATGGTTTTATGGTTCTTTAAAAACAAATGAAGTAAGAGAACTTGCGATTCGTTAAATGTTTCAGTGCGGTGACCCAAATCTGATATAATTTACGTTGTGAGGTGCACATGGTTTACTTTGGCACATAACTGAACACTGAATTAAACAAAATATGCATTTTAAATAAAAATGATAATATTTTTTCTTTGTTTTAGCATGTTATACTTCATAGAAATAATTGAAATTTTATAATTTTCGCATTAGCAAAAAGCCACTTTCCCCGAAACGCTTCCTGTCACGCAACAAATAAAATGAAAACTTATTTGCATAAAAAAAAAAACAGATTCAATCTGCTGGAAACAGCTGATGAAGAATGACTTAATATTCATGTAATAGTATACATTTGCTGGAATCTGAAATACTTATTTTACGCTTCCTTACGGAAGTAGTAAACATGGAATTAACAGCTAGGAAGAAGAGTTGTGTTTAACAGGAAAAAAATTATTTACATCTTTGAAATCACCATAAAAAGTAATTTTGGACTCAATACTAGTTATTAAAATATCCGAATGCATGCACACCAATGTTGTGATTGCTACTAATGTCTAAGTGTTATGCGTACCATATGATCCACAGCTGCAGTAATCTGTGCGAATAATGGCTTTGCAGATTTTTCACTAAAATGACCATTTTGGGAAATTCTGTGGAATAATTCCCCACCGTTAGCGTGCTCCATGACTAAGTAAATTTTGGAGAAAGTCTCAAGTACTTCATATAAACGGATAACGTGGGGATGATGTAAAGATTCCATGGAAGCGATTTCTCTTGCAAGCATCATTTGCGTTTTCTTATCGAGTTTAGCTTTATCTAAGATCTTTACAGCCACTCGCTCTGTAAGAAAAAGTAAACACATCATGCATATGAGGAAAATTGAGCAAACTTGCAGTAAAAGAATTTACTGCAAATTTTGTAACTGAAAAATACATAAGTTTATAATATTTTACATACACAAATAAGTATAATAAAATAAAATATAATAAAATTAAGTATATTTTTAAAACACATTTTATACCTACTTAGCTTTCGATTATCAGAGAAGTTTCCGCTTTTCAGATAATCCACAAGTTATAGCAGAGAAAGAATCAAAGCTTATCCTAAGACTGATCTATAAAGATGAAAAACTTCTGAGGTTTTTAGGAAGTCGTGATTTCTTATGCAAAACTCGAAACGAAATTTAAAACTTAATTCTAAATCGTGGCTGAAAAGTTTGACTCCTGATAACCGAAAGAGAGAACATTTTCCGAAGACGAGTATTTTAGAAGTTATTTAAAAAATACCAAATGCCGGAAAACGAAACGTAGGCGTACGGTTGGAGAAAGGCCTAAACTTTGAAGACTGTGAGATTTTACTAGGCAGAGACTCAGAAGAAGTCACTAAAAGAATGCGAAAAAGAAACTGATTATTAAAGTGAATGAGTAAGATAAACTATAATATGATGTAACATTGGAATACTTCCGAAGTTCCATAATTATTATTCATTATTGCGAATAGTTTGCCTAGGATGCGGTGTATTCAGCACGATGAAATGATATCATCAAGAAGAGAATCTGATTTTGAAATTCTCGCGAATAAAGCTGTAAGAGGAGACTGGAGGTAAGCAAGTAAAAAGGAGAATATCGCAAGAGAAATTCCAAGACTGCACAAAGTATTTGCTCGAAATGGTCCAAAATGTTTGATTTCGGTAAACTTAAAAGAATGTAGCAAGAGGCATAGAAAACAATTTACAAAATCCCCTGAAGACCTCCCTGGTTGAGAAGTGAATGAGAGAAGGAGAAACTTTATCTTATAATACATGATTTTCATAATTTCTTTTCCATTTAATTTCAAAGTTTTTTACTGAGGGCATTCTAACATAGAAATATTACTCGTAAATAATTTTTAATGGCTGATTGAGGACAATTTTTCCAGAAGAGGCAACTTCATCTGTCATAGAGTAAATAATTCTTAATGTTAATTCTGGAGCTTTGTTTTCATATTTCTTTTATTCATCGGAGGAGTTCGAACAGTAATTCCTTTTTCAGCTAAGTCTTCTATTTTGAAAAACTAGAGGATTCCCGATAAGTACCGAGGTTTTTCTTAACATCTCATAAGCATGCAATTTCTTCTCATTTTCTTAACCATTAAGCACATGTTAAAGTGATTCTTCACACATTTCATACATCCGGGATGTTGTAGGATCCGATACATCCTTGTTCGAACCTCTAACAGTGGGAGCATTGTCGCAGTTTAATACAATAATTTAAATACAATGAATAAAATTTCTAAAAGATCTTGATCTTGCATAAATACTGCTTTCAACGACTTTAGTTTAATTTGTGAAAGACTTCTTCTGCAGTGATTTCTGTTTTAGCTATTCATATAATATTGCTTTAATAGGTGTGTCTTTCTTAATACAGAACATGTTAAATTATATATTATCTCTTGAAAGGCATACGATTGTTTTTCTGCTGTCTTAAATCACAGTCCAATTGATTCTTCTCATAAAACCCCTTCAAATATCCTAATGAAATTTCCGCCACAAAAGTTGCATATTGACTCAAACTACCATCAGGAACTGGGCAAAAGGAAACTTTTTTTTCAAAAGCAAATGATTCAAGAATGGAGTAAAATAGTGTAAAACGCGCATATGAAATACATTGGTTTCGGTATTTACTTTAAGTACTATAGCCTTTTTTGGGAATTTTGCCGATCTTCTTATCATAAATATCTTTGAGAATTTTATTGGTCTCCTTCATGAAAGACTTACTGTTACCAGTTGTAAGATTATTCTGTCTTGTAGGTGCTATGCAGTCACAGCCACAACTTTTATGTAAGCGAGTAAGCATGAATTCTGTCATCGCTATTTATTCGTTAGCATCCGTGTTACCGCAGGTTTTGTTTTACTGAAACTCAGCAAGAGCATCGAGTACTCAACATCCACACCCAACATTTCATCATTACCTAATTTCTCAAAAGCTTTCATTTAATTTATATCAATTATTATCAGCATTTGTAGACAGGATTTTTATATCAGGATCAGTATGTATCAAAATTTTCTGAACTCCGAGGAAGCACAGCATGCATATCATCAAAGAATATAACAGTCATCCCATAACTTTGCACAGAAGAGAATACCCGTTGAGAAGCAATAGAAGGCAAAGCGATAACGGGAACTTACAAAATAGCATACAACAGACATGATTTTTTTTTCCTAGTCTTGCACTGAACTGCTTAAACAATTTGTTAGACTATATTCTATGGATAAAAACTGGATTGATCTCATAGTTTTCCATATCAAGTTGTCAGAAAGAATAGCAATATCCAAAATATTCCAGATGTAAAGTTCCCAATTTATATAGCATTTAATATCATTTTAATTAAACCTTACTTTAAACGTCGTTTCGTTTATTAAAATCTGGGAAGCATTCCATTTCTTTATTGTCCTGGATAAAGCAATTTTCCTTGCATTAGCTTTGTTTTATGCTTACCTGGCATGCATTCATTCATACGGTTAGTGTGCATACATTTATATATATGCATTTCTTATATATTTACATTTATATATATGCAAAATATATGAATGCGAAAATTTTTAAATACATTTATAGATAATTTTCTCTCAATAAAATTATAGTCTCAGAGGATATTTAATAACATTAGGAAACCAGCAGCTTAATTAAATATTATTTATTATACACATTTTGTATCAATATTTATATTATTTAAATCAATATTTACGTCAATTTAAGTTTATAAATCAATGCTTAAGTCAAATTTTTATTTTCAGTTACAAAATTTTATAAAGTAATGTTGATAATTTTATTCCATATTAAATTCGGAATAAAATTATTAAAAGCTGTGCATGTGTATGGAAAGGATTCTGTAGAAATGAAAATAAACTTTTTATATAATCCTTGCACAACAAAAGCGGCCAGCGGCTGAGCGGTAAAATCTCTGAACAGTTATAGTTCTGACTTGGATTAGATTTCAGGTGAACCCGGCTGGCCGTATAAGCGTTTTCGTGGTTTTCTCCATGTGTAACGTGAGATACGAGCCAGTTTTCCTTAGAAAATTTTCCATGAAAGCATTCGTCCATTTAAGCAGATAGCATTTGCGTGCTTTGGCGTAATCAACCAAAACTCTGTGCATTAAATATTTCATTGCATAAAATATTCATTTGCTATTATGATTTAAAAACAAAATGTTCTGTACGCTTATGTGCGATATTCTATGGCACAATGTATACTAGCAATGGGTTTTATCATAATAAACTAGTCCATTACAAACTTAAAAGCTGATAACTGCTGCGCGAGATGGAGACATTAATTCTCACCTTTTTGATTCGTAGTTTTCTCATTATAAAGCAGAAATTGGAAATTAATGATTTCATCTTCTGTAAAGTTCGTTGTTTTGAAAACCCTTAAATCAAAATTGCTATGCAAAAATGACATATGTCTTTAAATTCGTTCTCGTATAACTTTGCGAATTTTATTCAGAAAAATTATAATTCATTATTGAATACTGAATATTACAAAAATTAAGAAATTTATGACCATAAAAATGTGCACTTAGTTTTGCAGAATCTTCTTACTAAGAGTTGATAGCATTTCCAAAAAATTTCAATTTTATCTGAACAGCTTTATTAGTACATGATTTATCTTTAGTAAATATTTAAGGAAGCAAAACATTTAGCTACCTTTTCAAAATACCTTTATAACAATTCAATTACGTAGACAATGATGCTAAATATTTACACTCCAATCGGCTACTGTAAAATATGACATAAAATGTAAATGAGATAATCAATAAAACGAAACTTTCCACTCAAAAATAACGGAAAACTTATAATAAAATTAAGATTCTAAAGACTAATGACAAAAAAACTCGCGAAAATTCAAATTTTCAAATCTTAAATCTTTTTCAAGATTCAAGAAATTCGAATGACGTTTCTCAAGTTTTGCTTAATATTTACCTTTGGTAAGAGCGTGTGTGGCAGCTTTGACTTGCGAAAAGTTTCCAGTGCCTAGTTCCTCTTTCATTCGATAGAAACCGATTCGCCTTCCTAGCGTAATATCCTTCTGCCATTTTTCGTCAGTCTGCAATTTTTTTACAGCCCTTAGATAAGGAGAATTATTTTCACCTCGCCCATCTTCATCTTCTGTAGTTTCCTATTAGAAAATAAGAATATTTTCACAAAAAATATATAAGAATAGATTAAAATTCGTAGCTTTAAAAGTAAAAATGAGTTATGGAAAACACATTTGTTAAAACATCAGTGATTAATTACAATGGTTATTCAATAAAAACTAAGTAAAATTATTTATAAATATATTTTTTAGAAAGTGATAAAAAACGTGTTTTCATGTTTAGTAAAGTATGTAGAAAAACATTCTGAAATTACACAGATTTAGTTAAATGCACTAAAATGTAAAAATATATTTTTTTAGCTATCATAATATTCTTCGTCATATGTGACTAAAAATATTGTACATTAGATCAAATTTCTAAACGGAAATGAGTAAGAACTGTACTTACTCTCATAGTTTACTCCTTATCTTTTTGATGTAAGGTTCTGAATGTTTTTTTAATTATTCATATAACTTTCCCCTTCTTAAGGCATTCAGAAAGCGAGCTTTCCTAAATTTTAAAATGAGATTCGTCCAGGTAGTGATTATTTTAGTCTTACTGGGATGATCTTCTTGTGAATTTTGGTTGCGTGGGTTCTAACTTTTAAAGTAAAGTTCTTGAAGATACGTATGTACTGATTATGTATTGAGACAGATCCATTTGAATTGAAGTGAACTCAATAACTCAAAATAAAATTCTGTTTAAATACTCATTTATTTACATATTTATTTATTTTTATTTTCAGCCTTCTGCGCTTGTAAGACTGGACTGGGAAGCTGTTTTAATTCTTTTTTTATTTCTCAAATAATTAACTACATATTATTCTACAAACATCTCTATTTTACAAACATCATGTAAACTAAACAAACAATAGTTTAAAAACCTACTTTTAACAGTAATGTTCAGCAGAACATAAAAAATATAAAATAATTTTTATAAGCTTATAATAAAGATAAATAATCTGTTGTTTTAAATTTACATCACACCTGTATAATAGAAGATTACCTGCAATAATGTTCTTTTTAAGATTATAATATTCTACTTTATAATAAATAATATTCCTTTAACATTCAGATTCATTCTGTATCCGACAATCAATTTTAAAAATTATAATATTTTTTTTTAAAAGGGTGTGAATACATTTACTGTGGAACATTGTCTCCAAACGATAATATTGCAAACTTTCCAAAAAACAAACAGGTAACGAAATAAAAAAAACAGTAAAGAATTTTACAGAGTACGTAATTTTTAGATTTGATTATAAAGTATGGATATCAGTTTAAACTGCAGAAAATTAAATAAAAGGGAACTAATACGATATCACTTATAAGATACTAAGAAAATAGTAACGGTCTGAAGATTCAGAAGCTTAGAAATTGGCGGTAAGCATGTTTTTAAAATTTATACAGCCGTGTATTTTACTTGGAATCCAAACAATTCCTTTTCTTCAACAGAGATAATAATGAGCTAAAATGATTATTTAAAGCTTTATATCTGCCATTTTGAAAAACGCAAAAAACGCTGTAATAATTACCGTAACAAATTAATTTTTAGAAGTGTTTCATAGTTGAACTTGTATAAGCAAAACGTTTTACCATATTCTTTACAATGGAAGCTTTGCAATGAAAACCTCGATTCATTTCGGTTAATATTTATTCAGAAATGGATGTGCTTGGATACATGTGCTGAATAATGGGGAAAAAATCAGCAGTTTTGGGATTATGTTATCATCTTCAAAAACGGTATTGTTAATTAAAAACTTCTTATTTTAGATCCGGTTTCACACGTTCTCTTGTACTTGCTTTTCAGTATTAATCCAATAAATATCAACCTATGAAAGCGCGGCTCGAATAAATAAATATTCATAAAGATGTCGGTGAACCCATTTCAACAATTTCAAAAACCTTTTTTTATTCATTGACTATATATTGAAATAGAATAGCACTCAAAGATAAAAAAATCAATTTTTATCTTGCTGCAAAACATATGAGATCAAGAAAACTATAAAATATGAGGCAAAGAAAACTTTTCTTTCCATAATTTCATTCTTGTCACTTATATTTATGATTTATGAATGAATTCTTAATAATTTGTATCTTCAATAACATATCAGATTGATGTAATTTAAAAAACGTTTAATTTGTAATAAATATACCTATTTAATAATTTTTATGAGCATTAGCACAGTTATTGTAATTAATAAAAGATATTTCTAAAGTCATATTTATGTACACTTTGAACCAAAAAAGTTTGAGTTTTATTTAAGTGATGCCACTGAAATTAATTCGATTTTTCGAGATTTTTTCATTTGCTATTTTATTTCAAATTTCTTTGCAGTCATAACACTTATTTAATAAACTGTATAATAGTATTTAACATTGAAAGCACACAATGGTTTTGCTCCAGGTTTCGTCATAAATTGGAGAAAGGGATTTTGGGTATAGAATCCGAGTGTATTTTACACTATTGGAGAACCAGTCGTAGGTACTCATTTAAGTATCCTCTATGCCATAAAAATACTGTTATTACAACGCTTATATAACTTACCTTGGAAATTCCTTACATGTGGCTCATAAAATTAACCCGAACTCAAAGATATGCGAATGAAACGGCCTGCCATTATAGCATCCGAGGCAACCTAATTTGTCGGAATGTATGCAGGATGAAACGCATAGATTTTACTTTTTATATTATACTATTGAATTTGCAAGGTGATGTGCATGTTAGATATCTTGTTGTAACATACAATTGTTGTATTAAGGTAGATTGATCAAATTTCGAGTTTTAATTGTTATTCAACAATACTCTACAATTCTGTTTTTATACATTCTCCTTTCTACTTCCTCGCGAAGTAAAATAAATATTGCTATCGCCAAAAATTTCGGGTCTTATATTTCCCCATATATATTCATTTTGATCGTTTTTGAATTCGTTTGGACGATTTTTTTTGCGTGACATCTGTAAGTATGGAAAGAATAAAGGATTCGTTTTTTCCAAAACGAATTGTAAAATAGATTTAAAATGGATTTTTAGTGACGTCTGTACGTACATATGTAGAGAGGCTGCTCACATATTTTTAAAAGATTTTATTTACTACAGAAATATTTTACCCAAAATGTTTTGTGTTTGTGTGTAATACTCTATTTGTTAAGCCTTATTTTTTACTATTTTTTACACCGTAATTTCCAATAAAGCCTTTTATAGTATCGAGAAAGGTATTTTATTCCATTCCTATTGAACAGTTTACCTTATAAGTCCAATGAGGGTTATAAGGTAAACGTTAGGAAAATCGACTTTTTAATAGTCCAAAGGCGCAAAACTCCATGGGAGATAGATACATCAGGAAATTTAATAGGGATATGAACAAAGGATATGGTTTTGATACACATTTCTTATTCCATTTTTCCAAGAAATTAACAGTGGATTTTGAAGTATGGCTGCTTGTTTTGTCTTGATGTAGTTCTATTAACTGATGACATTTTGGGTAAAGAGAAGGCATTTCATATTTGAAAATTGGGTACAAAATATGCTCCTGATAATATGTAGAGTTAATCTTAGCATTTTTCTCCACTCTCCTTATTTAAAGTTTGCCGTTACATGAAAAATCAGCAACAAACATTAATCCCTTTCAAGAATAATCTTCAGATTCTTTGAACCATGTTTTAAGATTTTTTTTATCTTCTTTTATTATAATAAATGGACCTCTTTTTATTGCACTCATTCAAATATACCAAAGATTCATCTATCGTGACAATATTTTTTTCATTTTTGTTCCGGTAAATATTTTTCATAAAGAATAATGCAGAGCGTTCAGCGTTCGGCGATATGTCGTGGAGAAAGACTATGAACTTTATGTTTTTCTGCCCTTTTAAGACTCAAATAAGGATTAATCACTTTGTTTACATTTGACACTGAGCATTTTAATGATTCTGCAACTGTCCTAATAGTGTTCAGCAGCTTTACCCATTCGGCCCTTTGTTCTCCATATTTACGAAATGTGTGTAAATTTAAATTTCTAGCATTTTCAATAAAAGACAGCCTTACAAATTTCGATATTTTAAGCAAACAATTATTGTATTTTTTAAAATTTTTCCAAGAAATTTAAAAGCGTAACATTTCAAACAAAATTTAAAAGCATGTTTCGATTAAAATAAGATTAAATATAATAGTGCTTCAAGTCAGTTAGAAAAGCATTTTGTTAAATTAAAAGTTTCATTCTTCTTTTTTTCCAGTCAAATTATGTTTACTGTCTTTATATCTTGAAAGAATAACTTAGTTACATATCACAAGATGTATGGTATGAAACGGAGTTATTTTATTGCAACAGTTAATAATATAGTTTTCCCTTGTTAAAAGAAATTGCAATAAAATTGTATTGATTTAAATTAACTATTCAATTTCTCTTGTTTACTCTTAACTGTAAAAAACTTCATTTTTAGTAGAAGTTAGATTTTTAGAAGAATTTTCGCAAGAAAATAATTTTTTTTCTGGGAAATAAAGTAGAAATGCTTTTTTAAAAAATAGCTCACCAGGATTTTCTAAGTATTCTATTCTCCAAATGATGCAATTGTTTGCTTTACTATTTTTAGCTTTTTAGCAAATTGATACGAGAACATTTTTGTAAACTATACCTAATAAGTAATAATATTGTATTATTGATTTTCTGCCCTTTTTATACGTCATTCTACTCATTAAATATTTCTTCTGAACAGTAGTTTTATTTTAATGTACTCGTAATAATTTAAAGGTTAATTACTTTTTTCTTTTTCTTTTTTTCTTTTTTTTTTTTTTACTCAGAAATAACCATTCTAAAACTTTTATGTTCCTTAATCGCAATATAATGTCCATTCGACACTTGTTTCTTGTTGAATATACTGCCATTTGCAAGACATTTTTCTATTTAATTTATGCTATTGTCTCTCTCTTTTTTAGCTAAATTTTTCTATCCACTTTTCGAGTATTTCTGACAGAAAGTATTACTTCACAAAGCAATGATAATTCTAATAGACTATTAGACATTTAATTTAATTATACCTTTCACTTTTAGCAAAAATACTTATAAATCAGAAAGAAAAAATACTATTTCTTTACGAAAGGTGAAAATGAGTTTTCTTCGTAGTTCGTTTGAGTCATTTTAATACATACATTCGAATACATCCCATAATGAAAAAACCTAGCTGTTTGCTTCGAAAAGAGTAAGCATTATTGATCTCCATTCTGACTTCCAGATCTTTCTTTACTTACCCTTTAATGTGCTATACAGTAAACTGTGCTGATGCTCATTTAAACACAAAATGTTGCAGGTATGTTTAAATGATTTATCTTTACTAATTGCCCAGTTCCTGCAGTTTTCAAAATTTTTCTAACAGTTGAGCAAGGTTTTAGCAAAATATGACAGAATTAAAAAAGCTAAAGTAGACGATTAATGAAACAACGGGTTTGAAAATATCGCTATTTTGGAAAAAAAAAAAAAAAAAAAAAAAAAAAAGGCACAACTCGAAAACCGAGGAAAAAATCAAAATTTAACCAAAGTGTAACTGATTATGAAGTGTGTAACTAATAAACGTTAGTGACATCTTTTACACTAGTAATTACCTTCCACATAAAAATATACCACATTTTCGTTTTAGTTATGATTTAAGTGATCAATCGCAATTATTGAGTTATGCCGATTTTCTTCCAAAGTAGCGAAATAAGAAACTAGTTAGGAAAAAATTGCAAAAAAAATATTGAGCTGTTTTGCAAAATAAATAAACGAAACGCTTAAAAAGTAAATGTAGAGTATTTTCCTGATAACTAAGTTTAGAAACATTGATAGACGGAATTTTGTTGAACTAACTAAATGAATATTTTTAAATAAAAATTTTAAAAGAAATAAAAGGATTATCATTGATACATTTTGATGCATCAATGATGATACTTTTATTCACAATTTCTTTTATCATTCTATCCATTTTTTACACTATGAATTCATAATTTTTTCAAAAAGATTGAATGAAAGTTTATTGATGACATTGTCAAATGTTATACTTACTTGTAATGAAGGGCATTCTGAGCTTGTACTCTCTCTAGAACTCTGTAATGCTTGGCAGCGACCGTTAAGGCTATTACTGGCTGGTGAAACTTTTGCAGCTGGCATGCTGAAAATGGATACAACGATGTTGATGCACATCGATGCAACCTCGATCAGCCATCTGAAACAAACACCATAATATTTTTATGTTAATACAAACTTGCAGTCTGAAATATAAAATATTTTCGCAGAAAGGAGAAAAATGTAATTATATTGCAGTATAAACTTCGCCCATTACATAAAGTTTTTTTTTTAATATTTCGAAGATGACCTCTTCAAAGTACTTATTGTTTTCTTTCCACAAACCACATGTGCTAGTAAGGAAAAAGTATTAATACTAGAAGGAAATATTTGTTGCAAGCCTCATGTGCAAGTGATTCAATGAAAAAAATACATAGCTATGCCTTGAATTAATAAGTCTTCTTTACTAAATTAGGGCAAATTTCTTCAAGTGGTATTAAATTACTATGAAATAATAGCAGAATAAATGTTATCCTTGTTATTTTAAATATTAAGGTTTATGCTCTCTTTATCGAATGTCTGTGGGGTCTTACGCTTAAATTAGCTGTGATGTGATATTCATGCTTCAATGGTGTGGTGTTGAACTCCAATAAAAACTCTAATGTTGGAACACCGCATGAAAATTTTATTGAATGCCCAAAATAAAAGGCTACATACAATCAACATGAGAAAAAAAACCTATATCTTCCTTTTCTTTTCAAACAAATTCAAATATCTCTACATTTTACGTGCGAGAGCAATATGTGGCTCTCGAGCCTTCGTTTGAAACAATGCCAATATATTAATATTATTTTTAAAACAATTAATTCAACTTAATTATTGAAAACATATTCGGAAGTTAAATAATAATAACATTCATCTTTTGCTCTCGAGACATCCTTGTCCATATTAATCTTCAGTTTCTTCTTCCTTTATGCGACTTTATTACAACTCCTCCCCTCATTAAAGGATTTTTCTTAGACTATGGAAGGAAAAATTCTAAATACTTTTAACGATTTAAATAACCATTTAAGTGATAATAGAGAAGCCAGTTACATTATCCTTCACTTATTTCTAGATAATATAATATAAACGCAAAAATACAACGAAAAGATTTAAACTGCTCCTAATGCCTGCCTCATACAAAGTACATTGCTCAAAGTTTACAAAATGCTAACGCTTAAGATAAAAACATATAATTCTAACAATTTTTGAAAATAAAACACACAATGCAAACAATTTTGAATCTACACAATTATAATTCCAAAATGCTACAAAAATCATTTTCACTAATTTTTACCTTACATTGTATCCACTAGTGATATTCACTCACTAGTTGTAATGCTGGGGACACAATGTCCAGCGAGCCAAACGAGAATTTGATCCCATCATTTTCTTTAAAAAAAAGTCAACAGATCCGTCTGGATCTTGAATTTTTGTCCGTCTAAGTAATGATTTAGTTTCTGCAGTCCATAAATAATGGCCGCTAGTTCTCTTTCAATGATGCTATAATTTCGCTCCGCTTTAGTAAACATTTTGCTCTCGTAAATGCTTAAATTGTTTCAGGGCTTAAATTAAAATGTGCAGACTAAGACCACACTTCAAATGCTTACACCTTATGATTTTTATGTTGTTTATTTTCTAAATACTTAAAAAGTTTTTAAAGAAAGGATAAACTCTTCGAGATATCAGATAGTAAGCTGATTTTTCAGAATGCATTTTTGCGTGCGTGTTCAATTATACAAAAAGCTGCTCTTTTCTTAGCGATGCTAAGCACTTGTAGCCCACCAGTATCCAAGTAGTAAAGCAGCTGAAAACTTAGTTAGCTTCGATTCCAGGCGAACGGGCTGTTTATACGGGCGTTTTCGTGGTTTTCATCATATGTAACATGGATACGAGCCCGTTTCCCTTAGAAAGTAATCCACGAAGGATTTCTTCATTTAGGCACATAAGCTCTCGCATGCTTTGCCGTAATTAAAGAAACCAGCTCTGCTCATGTACAAATTGCAGCAGAAAATATGTAATCTCGAAGTAGTAAATGCAGAACTGTAAAATATCTATATGTGAAATATATCAGAAAGCCAGAAATTTAAAGAGAGAAGCTCATTGAATTCGATGACAAACAGAGCACATGGCTCAAAAAACGTTTAAGCGAGAATGCCTCTCTCTTTTCACCATGGCAAATATCAATCTGCAGAAATACTTCGATAAAAAGTGAAAAACTGAAGATTTTTAATTCTGCGTTTCAATTTCTTTCTATCATAACTTTTTCTGCTTGTTTATTGTTTCAGAAAGCTTACCCAATCGATAACTGATTTGAACTTTTCTAACGATTTCTCTGAAAACGTGTAATAACGGATTTCATATTTAATGTAGGATCATATGTCTTTCATGTTCTTTTATTTCAATTAAGCAATTCGCATAATTTCGCAATGACAACTGCGACGAACTTTATCATTCAAAACCATGACTGGAATTTATTTTAACTTAATTCTTTATCTGAATAAAGTGTACAAGTGATTTCCTGTTTTAATAAATAGAAAATTTCAATAAATGACCGAAAAAAAAAGCTCAAAAAGAGTTTAAATTAAAGCTTAATTCCTTTTTATCAGTTTTGCCTTCAACAGCAATTTAAAATTAGCAATTTTGAAAAGGTTCTTAAAAAGAAATGTTAAAGACATAAAATTAACAGAGTTCTATTTTCAGTACCATAATCTATATTATCCATACTCTCAAATGCAGGGAATAAAGTTACTTAAAACTGGAAGACAATAATATTAAAAAAATTTCTTGAAATTGAAAATACAAAGGCCAATTCAAAAATCTGAAGACTATTTCGGTTCACCTACCTGTACCGATATTAGACTTTAAACCCAGACTTCAAAAGCGGAACATCAAGGTGTCTGAAAAAAAGCCTTGACCTTTATTCACATTGAATGAGGACATTTATTACGTTTAATCGAGTCGGATTAGTAGCATGGAGGTAAGAATCTTATCGGTAGAGGCAGCTCAAAGAAGGTAACACGGAAATAATTTTAAAAAAATTCGTTCCGGAAATGTATTCACTACTGTTATGAATTTCGTATTTATCGATAAGTGGTTAAACCGCAACAGTAATTACAATGAAAACTCCGTTTGCTTAGAATCATAAGGAATAAAAGACCGAATTTGCGCAATAAAGTATGGTTTTTAGTTCCCTACCATACGTTTTGCTGAGACATTGACAGTGCGGTCTGAAATAATCAGACAGCATTAGAATATTCCCCGCATAGCGTGGAATTAGCGCCAGAGGATTTATGGGTCTTCTGATCTCCGAAGAGGCAACTGAGCCCAAAACAGATTTTTTTTTCCCTCACATTTTTTTTTTCTCACATTTCCCAAACCTGATGGCTCTGGATACATTATTTTTAAGTATTGAGTAAAAAGAAATGGTGTTTTTTTTTTTTTTTTTTTTTTTTTTTTTTTTTTTTTTTTTCGTGAAATAGGAATATATTTCAAGTATCTTAACCGCAGATATTAAGAATAGTGATTATTTCATGCATGCTTATTTCATTTAATGATGTTTATTTTAGAAGTCAAGCAACAAAAATCAGCGTTATATTTGCAAATTTTCACAGGACTAGTTTCGGTGATGTTACCGAACCATCATCCTCAGCTGGCAAAGCGCAAATTCAAAGCCACAGCTAGCATTTATCGGCGTTCGGCGTGTTATTTTATCTTGACATTTATTTGCTTAGTTCGCAAATTCAAGTTTTTTTAATCAGTTAATTCCGGTATTAATTATATTTAAATGATCTGTGTAGCAGAACGAGGTTACCAGCACTGTAACGTCCTTTTGGAAAACTCCAAATTCGTTTTTGTTAAAGTATTTACTCCTTTTGAAATTCATTTTACTTATTTTTTAATTACTTTTCCCCGTCGAAATGCAATTTGTGGCCTTCTATTCAACAGGTAATGGATTTCAAATCAAATAAGATAAAACTTCTCCTCTTTTGCAAACAGTTTAAACAATAAGTTTTGGTCTAATGAATCTATGCTTTCAGAAACAGATCGTACATAGAAACCAAATAATTTGAGAATATCATTTTAATTACTGGTATTTCAAGTGTTGCTTTATTCATTTTTCTCCCAATTTTCTTTAAAACAGCTGAAATACTTTAAACTCTGGTGAATTTGAGTAACTATTTAGATCCTTTTGATTGCATTGTTGTGCTGTCGTTCGGGCGACTGTGATATTGTGTATTGTTTTATTTATTTATTAAAATTTTTATTTTAGGATAACGGTATAAGAGTTTATTTTGTGCGAAATTTATTTTGCATGAATTATAGATCTTTCATTTCTGAATGCAATAACGTTTAAAGTCTTAAAATATCTCAAATAAAATCAGTTGATATGAGAAAAAATTCTCTGACAGACTTTAAACAACTTTTGTTACTAACTTGGCGGCATTTGACGATTTATTGCTAAGTTAGCCCCTTTTTGGAGATGTGAAGAAAACGTATTTTAGCAGTTAAAAGCAACTTATCCCGAGGCCCCCCGGAAGTCTGTGCAGCAACATATAAATTAGGTTCCGATAGTCAGGACGAGTCGGTTTTTAACTAGTTCTGAGTACTTGATTGCTGTTGAAAGCGTTATTGACATGTGTTTTAGAGTTTAATATGTGAGTTAAGTCTGTAATTTACGATATTTTTCGGATACTAAGGAATCTTTGCTTAATATATGCGTTCTCTTTGAGTTATTTTAGAGCTGTTTATTTTGATGTGTGGACATTACTAATTATTATAAATTGCCCTTTCCGTCCTGTTCATCTAGATTGATTACTTAAAGAAATACCCACGAACCCGCAGCTAGCAGCGTTTTAAAAATATTTAAATAGACTTCTTGAGATTTAAAAAATACACGGTATTCATAAATCTAAACATATATTAAAAACTCGTGTAAAATCAGCAAGCTGGGGGATCAAAATTTTGTTTTCATCTAAACATTTATCATTCAGATAGACCGTTTTAGGCATAAAATACAACTTAATTCCTGTTTTTAACGACATAACGTTCCAGTACGAAAAATGTCACAAAAGAATGGCAAATTTTAATGCATTAAAACAAGCAATGTAGCTGAGA